GAAACTGGTGAACGTTTGTTGCCCCAGATCCCAACCCCAGAAATGGCCTTGAAGTGGTTCAATGAAACCTTTAAACCGGCCTACATGCAATACGTGTACGACCCGGCAAAGAAGGATGAACCCTTCCTAGTTCTCGACGAACAGGACAAGTGGTACAAGGTCCATGACACCTGGAGTGAGCTGATCACCCACTCCGACATCATGACTCACCTTGTGACGGATTCTTGGATCGATCAAGGCGAATACCGCACTGTATCCGAATTCCTCAAGGACGACAAGGGCCATGTGTACTCTATTTGGCCTCGTGGTCAACTCCCGGCTTCACGTCTTACGTCCGTTGGTTTCACCGAAACAACCTTGGATGCATCGGACTTCGGTCGCATGCGGGCCATCACTGGTGCCCGTCGCAACATTATTACAAGCCACTACGCACGCACACCATCCCCCGCCCCCACCTCTACTCCACCAGTTCGCCTTCAAGCTGCCACACTGGCCCTTCCCCATGGTTTTGCACTACCCCCCGGCATGAACTTTGAGGCCTTCTTGGGAACTCTTCTCGAAAAGCACCAGCAGGAGAACGGTGGTAAGTCTCCTACAGTAGCTTCCCGTATAAATCCCCCGTGCCCTCACTTTCAAATCCTCAATACTGGACCTCCCAATATTATTCGCAAACCATTCCCAGTTCCAATGCAACCAAATACGTCATCTCCCGTTCCACCTGTTCCACGAACCACGTCGGCCAAAGTGTCACCTGCGAATAGTCAGAATGATGACACTCCACATGGTATGAAGAAAGCTGCCGAACTTGCTCACGATCCTATTACCGAATACCCCAGTACCGAAGAAGAGCAGGAAACAGAGGAAGAAGAAGACACCAAGCTCCCAGCGGAAGCGAACCAACCCTCCACTTAACACATACTATCACACAAAACTTTTACAACCTCACATATACCACGTTGACTTCAAAATTGCCAAACCTAAACCCTAAATATAAGCCACATGATTGATTCGATTCTATTCACCATAATCCTGTATTAGTAAACGAGTTAAACTAGTACTGGAAACGGAGACGACCCAGAGGGCATATGAATTCAGTCAGAATTCAATCGTACGACCGGTACAGTGAAGCTTGATGAGAATGCTGGTACTAGTAGATGCGTACATAAAATACCTTAGATAACCCAATTTTTACCGCAACTACCTCTCCAATTATGTCTTCCTTCCCGCTACGGTGGGAGAGGGGCCACTACCGTAGAGTGGGCATCTCATGGTAAGCTCGTACCAGTACTGGTACCAGTACTGGTAGCTTCGGAACGACCAGGGGGTACACGTGTACTCGGCGAAGATGATGGAATGGGTATCTGGGTGGACAAGTCGAATGCAGGCGTGTCGTTGCGAATGCTCTAGAGTTGTATGCTTGCATCTGTTTGGTTTCAGTTGCCTTTCATGGCCATCAATACCCAAGAGCGCCTAATGGCGCCCATGCATCCATTCTTACCAACCATGTCTAACGAAGAATTACGTTTGTCTCCTTGTGCGAAAGAAAGCGCGGTTGCGAAGTTGAGCCGTGGCCGGACACCAATTCCAAAAATTGAAAGGGGACCCAAGTCCATACGGTGCGCGTGCAGTCGTGTCCTGTGGTCTACTCTACGTCCGACGAGGTCCCTTTGATTGATCATATTGGCAGTGCTGTTGATCGCGAGCAATCATGTTGAACACCTGTTCAAGGGATGTCTGGCTTACTCCGTATTCCGAAAGGCACAAAGTCTCCTTATGCTCCTCGATCGTTGAGAACAAGTCAGCTAAAGGGATGCTCGCTCGGATCTCATACCTGAGCTTCAAGTCTTGGCGTTCTCGTTGAGCCGCACCCTGGAAGGAATTACACATAAACTGGTGGATCTGGCGAATACGCAGTTCAGTTGCTGCGAACGACGCCAAAGACCACAGACTGACACCGGCAAGAGAGCGCGCTTCATTGTAAACGGCCGAAGTTTCCGAGTTGTCAGGCGCCAATCTCATAGACAAGTGGCCGTCCATCGTGATAGCGTCAAGTGCTTCGTAGGCTTCCTGAAGATTAAAAAAGATCCCATTGCCATCTCTCAATTGCACTGCTTCAATGTCGACATTCGAGGCCTCCTTGATCAAGGACAATTTGTCATAGATCGAAGCAAAATCTGAATCGGATTCCTC